TTCAAGATGGGATCGGGTGCGCGTTTTTGTTTTTAGTAGAGCAAAATTTAGTACAAATGTAGCTTATTGCTAGAGATTTTAAAAATTGGCGCAGAACTAAATCAGACCCTATAGGTACTACCTATGTATAATAAATAAGTAGTATATGAAACGGCCACTCACGACATTTTTCAGTAGGTCAGACATTTTTTATAACAAAAAAATACGTGTGGCACTCGGGGACTGCCGCGGTAAAGCTATTGCATAGCATTTTTTATCAACTTTTGCAATTATAATTATTTATTTATTTTATTTATGCAGAATTGTTTTTTTCGTTGATATTAATTCAAGTTTTTTCTTTGATATTAATTCAAGTTACACTTTTTGAGCGTGGTGACTGATAAGAAAACGTTTTTTTTCTTTTATTGAATAATGTTTAATATTGTTTAAAATATTTTTATTATTTTACAATACACGTAGGTTATTCAGGAATTTTTATCATTGAAACTATAGGTTTATGGTAACTGAAATAAGAAACATAAGTTTGAGACTTGATGTCCTCTAAATGTCTGGAAAATACCGCGTCAATGGTGGTCCCATATTTTGTTGGGAATTCTTGTGGATCAATATTCATTTTCAAATTTAATTTTTCCGAAATTGTGTCTAAGTGTCTAAAAGAGAATCAGTTAGCAGCTTCTACACGCATATGCCTAGTCGCACGCACTCAATCACCGTGCCGAAGTCTGCCGAACTGAAACGACGTTAGAAGATGCACGGCTTTCAACGCCGTACCGCTGTGCCAGTCGGAGTGGGGGGTGTTAGGTTTATTTTCGTTACGGAATTTATTTTTCGATTTTTTGATTTTTCTTCGATTTTTCTTCGATTTTTCTTCGATTTTTCGATTTTTCTATTTTTCGATTTTTGATTTTTCGATTTTCTTTTATTGAATAAATTAATATTGTTTAACGCCGCACCGCTGTGTCGGTCGGAGTGGGGGGTGTTAAGTTTTTTTTCGTTATGGTGTTACGGAATTTCTTGATTCGGTCTCCGCGCTCAAAGCCCGCGATAAAAGCTATGCAATAGTTTAAAAACAAAAAATAAGAAATTATTAAATACTAGCTTTTACCCGCGGCTTCGCTCGCATTTAGGCCGTTAAATAAGTATGAATTCTTCTCGCTTGCGATTGTTCTGGCGTTTCTATCGCTCTTCTAGCTGCCTGCAACCCATTCATTTCATTTCAAACATTTTATTCACTTTTTAAAAATTTTACAACAACATATATACATATAATACAAAACATCCTGTACACAGTACAGAATGCGACCCTAATTCTACAATTATGGCCTAAGGCGATATATGCATTCACATTTCTTCATTTGTCTTCTGCTATAAAAATAGCCGCCCCTACTCCTTACCCGTGGGGTATTATTAAGGGATTAGGTGGGATTGTAATCGGGAATTGTATGATTTTAAAGGTCTGTCGTGTCTTAATTTCGTTATTGTCCCCTGAAAAAGCTAGAAAAAACAGGGTTGTCGTTCGTGATGGGTGGTCTGTGGTAGTCTGTGGTTTTTTGTCATAATTCACTGAGAGGGTGAGCTATAAACCACCCGGAGGTGCCTCGGTCGAGTGCGAATAATCGCTATCGGCCGCGACTCCGCCGGTCAATTTATCGTTCAGTCCTCCGTCGCACTAGATTTCGTAAATATCTAGTCCGTGTGAATTATTGTTTAGTATAGTTTGAATTTGTCAGGAGTCCTGTTATTGTCGTCTATATATGCCTAGATTGCTATGAATGCAGCCGTGCTTCCGTCGCACGCCGTCTCCCTGGTGAATTTGGGTGATGCTTTCCCTTAGTTCCACAGGGAGGCATCGCGCGAAGAAGTTTTCAGAGGTTTCAATGATAAAATCTTTGATCATAGGCATATTTGTCGTCCCGTGTATGTCTCGTATTCTAGCATAGCGATCGTATCCAAGTGCTAGCCTCAGACATCTGTTTTGAGCCCTTTGAAGTGGTGCAAATAAAGAGTTAGACATTGAGCAGTATACTGGACAACCATATGTCAGTATCGGCCTAAATATGGTTTTATATAGTAGTAGCTTGTTCGGCAGGGATAGTTTGCTCCGTCTATTCATTAAGGGGTACAACGACCTCAGAATACCGGAGTTTTTATCTACCCTGTCTTTAATGTGGGCCTTAAACACTAGTGTTTTGTCCAACAGAAAACCAAGATATTTCATCTGTGACTTGACAGCGATTGGTTGGTTTTGCACCTGAAGGGGCGTGGTTATACCTTGGGTACGCCTTTTTGTAAGCAATAGCGACTCGGTTTTAGTTGAGTTGATTTTCATCTTGTTTTCTGCTAAATAATTCACTAATGTTCCATTTATATGGTTTTCCAGCCTGCTGCTCGCTGTTTGTGCTGATTTATGACTGGTGTATATACAGATGTCATCGGCGTACTGCGCCGTTTGCACCCCATTATGTCCCATTGGTAAATCATGGGTCATGATGGTGTACAAATGCGGCGATAGTACAGAGCCCTGTGGTACTCCCGCCATTGCTAGAAAAGGTCCTGTTATTGTAGAATTTATTTTGATGTTGAATTTTCTGTCCGTAAGATATGACAAAATTGTTTTGATAATGTGCTCAGGAAAGTCATTCATAAGCATTTTGTATATTAGCCCTTGGGTCCATACGGTGTCAAAGGCTTTTTCTGAATCAAGCGCCACCAGCACCGTTTGCAGGTCCCGATTAAATGCCTCTTTGGCATGATGTGCAATTCTCAAGACCTGGGCCACGGTGCTGTGCCCCTCTCTGAAACCGTATTGTTCCTTCGGGATAATCTGTATGTGTTGTTCAATTGTTTTTAATCGTCGTAATATGATAGTGTCCGTTATTTTGGCGAGTGTGTTAAGTAGTGATATGGGGCGGTAGCTATCAATATTATTCTTCGGTTTTCCCGGTTTTAGAATTGGTATAATATTTGCCATCTTCAGACTACTAGGGTAGTGTTGTAGTCTGAAAATGGCATTTACTATGTGGTAGATCTGCACGATACCTTTCCTGCTGAGGTTTTTTAGCAGTATATTGTTAATGTCGTCCGGTCCCGGAGCTCTTCTGTTTTTGAGATACCTAATTACCTCACATACCTCTCTAGGAGTGGTAAGGCACGAATGGGGCACTGTAAGTGGTTCTATTTGACCGAGAGCGGTAATGATGTTTTCAACTCGCTGTTGTTGAGGGTTGTTAGGCTGATTGTTGACAAATTGAGCTTGAAAGAATTCACCTAGGGCTTGACCTCGTCTGTCATAAATGTTTCTTGTCCTCGTCTCAGAGTGGGGAGCAGTGAGTAGGGTTTTTTATACCTCTTCACTACTCTCCACAATGAGTTGTCTTGTGGTTTCAACTCTGATAGGGTTGTTTGCCATTTTTTATTTCTGTGGTTTCTTATCATTTCGTTTATGTTGTTAGCTAGATTTTGCATCATAACCCTATCATCGTTTAACCTGTGCGTCTGCCACCTTTTTCTTAGTCTGTTTTTGTTACTAATTAATTCAGTGATTTCGGGTGGCAGATTGTCATAATGTGCTGTCAGTGTTTTTAGTGTAGTTGTCTCGTTTCTAGCTTTTTGTATTATTTGTATTAATAGTTTTGTTTCTTTTTCTAGTTTTTCTACTGTGTTGATGTTGTTATTTATTGTTATGTATGTGTCTAGTTTGTCTCTGTACTGTGTCCAGTTTGTCGATTTGTAATCATAGTATTTTGTGTTTTGTCTTTGTATTTTGTTTGTCGTCCAAATCTCCAAGTACACTGGATCGTGATCTGAGTTTAGAGTGGTTATTGTTCGCATATTTCTGATGTCGGGGATATATTTCACAAGGGCTATATCCAGTGTACTGGGGCTGAAAGTGGGGTTTGTCGGAAAGTATGTAGGTTCTTCTGTGTAGTGGATAATAAGGTCATTGTCCTCGGCGAAGTCTCTCAAGACTCTACCGCTAGCGTTGTAGTGCGCACAATGAGAGTCCCATTCCTGATGTTTGGCATTAAGATCCCCTGCCAAAAAAACTCTGTTTCCTTTAGACATTAATCTGTGCAGATCTCTACCTGAAATTATGATGTTGGGAGGGTTGTATACACCTATGATTGTTAAGTTATTTACCTCTACAATGATATGTTCAAATCTTTCATTTATATTTGCCTTGGAGATTTCTTTGTATTGTAATTCTTTTTTAATAATGATAGCTACCCCCCAGCGGCGTTTCTGAGGTTGGGTATGTTTCTGTCTTCTCTGAGCGTTGTGTAGTCGTGAATTTTTACTGTGTGTGTTGGCTTTAAAAATGTCTCTGTAAGTATGATAATGTCGAATTTATGCTTATGAATGAAATTGCTGACAAGCCCGATCTTGTTCAGCAGCCCGCGCACATTGAAAAAACATATTTTGAGTTTGTCTCTGTTGTTATTGTCGAAATTAGTTGCGTATGTTGTATGAGTCTAAGTTAGTCATGAAATTATTAAACGTCATAAAGTATTGGGGGGTGGAGGTACATTTTCTTAGGGAGGAATTGAGGTCTCGGACGGCTCGGGTAAGGGCGGCTATATTTACCATGCTATTAAGTTCTTGGAACTCTAGGTTGAGTGCCATGAAGTCATCCATTTCGTTTGTTTGGGGGTTGTTTTCTTCATTTGTTCTTCTTGTTTGGGGTTGGGATTGGGGTGGGGGGTTTGCTTTATTATTGTTGGGGAGAGGGGGGAAATCTCGAAGTTCTCTTGGGGTGGGATTTCGATTTTTATCCCATGCGTTTCTTGCCGGTGGAGGAGCTTGTACGTATTTGGTTTTTGGTTTCTGTGCAAGTCTCCTCTCCTCGAGTCTGGTGGCTCTTTCAACGTAGGCCTCGCACTTTGTATAATTTGCCGGGTGTTCGTGGCAATTTGCGCATGTGGCGGGAGTTTCTCTTGTTTTTATACAAGTGTTAGTTAAGTGGTTGCCTGCACATTTCAGACATTTCGGTGGGCGGCCACAATTTGTTGTTGCGTGCCCCCACGCTTGACATCTGTGACACTGAATTATTGATTTCACTGCTCTGCGTAATTCCCATGTTACTCTGGTGTTTTCAATAACCCTGACGTTTTTGTTTAAATAGTCAAGGGTTATTGCGGGATCTGTTACTATAAGGTAGAGTGGTCTGTAGTTCGTGGTCATCAGAAATGTTTCTTTGGCCTCAATCTCGTATGTTTCTCTGAGATCGTCTTCAATGTGGGTCTTATCCGCCTTACTCGTGTAGGTATGGTGTGGTATTTCCGCTTCTTTAATATTGCTTAATAGTGATCGATAGTCTTCTTCACTTTCGGTAAAAATTACTGTGGTTGCGTTCGTATATTTGATGGAGTACTTACCCTTAAGGATTTCTTTGAGGTCTTTTGTTAGATTTGTATGATTATCTGTACTACCATCAATTACTATGGGCGGAATACTATCTTTAGATTTTGTTTTTGTTTTGTCTGTGTTTCTAGCTTGTTTTTGTGTCTTTGAGCTTCCTTTTATAGGTAGATTGGGGGTTGCTTTCCCTTTTTTGGTGGGGTTGTTCGTGGGCTGTTCTGTTTCGCTCTAGTGAGAGCGAAACAGTGAAAGATTCTGAAAGTGTTCAGAATCTGAAATTGCCTCAAAACGATTGTTTGTCGTGATAGTTAACGCCGCCTTTTGCTCAAGGAGTTTAATAAAATTTGCTCGAAATTTTTTCGTTTTTTTCGGCAGTTGGAAATCGTCAGTTTCCATGTTTGTTATTGTATCTTGCACCTTTGTTTGGTTTATTGGCGACATGTTTTTCCGTTTGTGTAGTAAGGGAGGTTGTCTGGTGTCTTCCTCGTTGCTTTCTTTCGCGAAGTCGTCTTCACTCGATGTCGCGAGATGTGCCTTCGTCCCGAAGTTAAGGACTTTTGCCGTTACCGTGCTAGGCATTCCTAGGGTTTTGTATGCCGACTCGAATTTAGGGAATGCGTCGTGATTACCCGTCGGGGGTTTCTCCGCACTTTTATTTGCGTTCGTAGGGGGTAAACCCGCACTATTTTTTTCGCTCGTTTCACTTTTATTTTCGCTCGCACCGGTCTGCACTGTGGGGTTGGGCGCACTACCGGTGTATTGTTGCGTTATGTCATGTGGGTCGTTTACCGGCACTGTGGGTCGGTTTTCGGGCACTTCGTTACACGAGGGTGGATTTTCCGCACTGTTTTCGATATTTATGATCGCGTACCCGTACGCACTGTTAAATGTGTTTAAGGGCGAATTTTCCGCACTCTCGAAATTTAGGGTAGGATCACTATCAGGGGAGTATCCGTACATCATGGGGCTGCTATGTGGTGATCCTCTTCGTTCTTCCTCCGGTGGGGTGTAAAATGGCGAGTTCTCCCTACTTTTTATCTTGAAATTTTCAATGTTGTTTTTGCGAGATTTTTCCACGTCGTTTGTTGGGGTAAGGTGAAAATCGGTCTCATTTGAGCTTTTTCGTCCCCTATCTCTGCTAGTATTTGTGCTAGAGTGTCTTTTCTCTGTTTTCTCCTGACTTTTTTGGGATCTGGATTGAGAGTCTCTGCTGCTTCTTGATGAGCTAGCTTTGGTATCCTTTGGTTTGGGGGTGCTTACATGCTTGTAAGGATGATGTATACTCCTTTTTAACTTTAATGTGAGCGGGCTTCGTGGGCTGGTCGAGGATCCAGAGGACCTGCGGCTGTCTGAGTTCCCCGGCTGTGTTTGCCGGCTTTCTTCTTTGGCTCTGGCTCTTTTTGTGAAAAGTGTCTCTGATGGTTGTACTGGGATGTTAGTTTCAGTAATTAAGGCTGTGGGGGTGTTATTTGCCCCTTCGGGGCCCTCCATGGGGGTGCAACTGTTCACTAACAGTCCTTCTACTTGCTCTGGCTTGACACGAGGCTAAAAATCAAAAAGTAAACAATGAAGATTGAGGTTAAAAACCCTGGCGGCACAACTTGGTACTAGTTCGGATAAATTTAAACACGTCTTCCCCAGATGAAGTACAGGGGATACGCTGCAACGCAGCTTGTCTTTCTGAGCGAACTCGCCCCTGAAGAGGCGTTTCAGCTGCTCTCAAAACACTTTGTCGTTGTGCTTGCTGTTGTCTTCTCAGCTCTGCGTCAATCGAAGATTCGTGATTTCGTGCAACTTTTGCTGCACGGGCCCGGGACCAATTTTTCCATAGATCAGATTTCCGCTTGCGAGGCATTTGAAGAAGAACAGAGTAAGAATTAAAATCAGTGAGTGAGATCTAAAATAATGATATGTAACCATAAAAATGACACCTAACCTCAAAAATTGAATAGTTCTTCTTCTTCTTCCTTTATTGGGCTAAAAAATTGAATAGTTTTATACTTCATAGAATAATGACAGAAGAAAACAATAAATATAGACAAATTTCAAACAGCTGAAACTATACTCAATTGAATTGGATATTGACGTGACCGTCGGTAATACAATGCGACCTCCGAGCAATTACTACTAGAGGGAGTCTTCCCCCCTTCCCCGCGCTAAATTTTGTTAGCAACATCTACTCCCCCGAGGGGGAAAATACCTCTTCTGTAATTGGCTTATTTAATCAGCGTTGCCAAGTTTGACAGCGCCAGTTCTGACACTTTCTGACACATGTCAGTTTCTTATTTGTATTTTACGGAAAATATTATTATTTATAACGTTGTAAGGGTTGTAAATGTATATTTAAGATTTATTATCTCTAATAATATGGTAAAAACATGCTTTATGTGTAAAAGGCCTGTTGAAAATGCTTCTTTAAGATAATATCATAAGTAAGTACAGACACAACCTAATTATCAGAGGCGGTGCATTAGGCAATCGCCTTTAATTTGCAATTAAACTTTCTTATTTTCTTATCGAAAAATTAAAATTAAGAGCAAGTAAACTCCAGCTAAGTTCGTCTTCATCCGTCTCATAATGATTATAGTAAGGGTTAATTACTTATTATTTTAATATCACATCTTTGTAAAGTTTATTATTTTTTTTAGGTTTCCTTTTCTTTTTTCTTTTTTATGCTAAATGACCATTTTTATTACATACCTCAGGGGAGGAAAATATTAAAGAAAAATGCAATTTCGACGAAAGAAGTATAATAATCAAAATAGTAAAACAGCAAGTAAGTAGAGAAACTTAAGTTTCTTTCAAAAAGAATGTTTAAGGAAAGGCATAGCCATTTTTTTGTTGACACTTTTTTTTAACTAATCTAAAAGACTAATTTTGTGTATTGTTTAAATTTTCATTTTTTGTACTCAATTTGTTTTAGGTTTAAACAAAATGAACTTCTAAGATATGCATGGAATATCCCAAAAGAGCTAAGGAAGGTTTTAAAATTTTTACGAAAACTATTTAGAGCCAAAAACATAAAATAGTCTTCCTGTCCAAAATATAAATACTCGTAGGTATAAATATTCAGATATTATGAGTGATTTTTTATTCTATAAATAGAACATAATTTGCTTCTAAATCACTACCTAATGAACTATATTATATAGTACAAAACTAAACAAGAATATCACATTATTCATGTTTTTTTAATTTCCTTAAAAAACGTCCAAAAAAATGTGAATATTTATTATTGGAGTTTACATCGTTATGCTAAAACAATACTAGAATAACTTAAATAATGTGGATTTACACTATTTTGAGTTATGCAGATCATTATGATCTAAAAAAATGTTTGTCTGGTGCTATAGTCAGGTATAAAAACATTCATTTATTTAAACACAGTTGCAATATACATTTTATTTAGTTAAAATCTATTAGGACATCCTAAAAAGACTTTTTTCGTTTGATGTGAGATTAATTATTTACATTTTTGTTGGTGAAATATGATATATTAAGATGTCTTACTGTTTTCTCTGATTATCTAAAAAGTTAGAACAATATGCAAAGACTGTTATAACAAAAAAGATATACCCTTACTTAAACACACAATTGGTCAGTTCAATTGTACGATAATTTAAAGCCGAAATCAAGAAAATTTTAAAAATGTTTTTAAATGTGTTTTTACTATAACAAGGACATAATTATTAAAAAAACTTGGCACATTTACATTGACGATAGGTTTTTATAATATATATTATACAAATCACAACGAACTACACAAAATGACATTATTATTAATTTAGCAATAAAAAAGTTAAGTACAATGATGACATTAAAAGTTGAGTTTTTTAAATACTTTTTTAAATTGTCTCAGTACCTACCTAGTATTTTTCTAGCACAATGATATTATATGAATGTGCATTGTGTGATATCTTATATTTTAGGAATAAAATGATATATTTTTTGCAGGTTTCTGTTAACAACGATTCCAAGAACTTTTGAAAGTATTATTAAAACGGCATTTGCAAATATAATTCTCAATTAAGAGCTTTTGATCTAACATTAAATTGTTATTCTCCATAAGGTTACAGCTTCCTAAGAAGAAAGTTTAACAAGACTTACCAGACTCAAAATATCAAAATTTTACCAACCAATTGATGGTTCTAATGGTTTCTATAGGAAAATTCTCCTCGAAACTACTAAAAGAAAAGTGGCCGAGGCAACCGAAGAAGGCAAAAAAGTCTTTTGCAAAACAAAAACTAGAAATTTGTTTAAGAATATAATTATTGTTTGAAGTTTTACCATTAATAATTTTTGATAACGATTTTAGATTATGAATTTCTATTATGTATATTTTACTCTTTGATAACCTATGTTTAAATTTTTATTAGGATCAAAATAAATTATAATTTTCATTTCAACTACAAAAACCCTCATAATATTAAAAAGGGAAAAAATGTTAGATTAGTTATGTTCAGGAATAAACTCTTTAAACATTTATCTACTTAAAATGTGTTACTTTTACTTTTTACTTTTTTTACTTGTATTAATTTATTTCATTTTATTATCTGTTGTATTTTCAAATTGATTTTGATATTAATCTTATCTATTTATATATTTTTTATATTACATATGTTGTTTTCATTGAAACAAACGTTTATTAGCTTATTAAATATAATGAATTCATGTTGTTTTATTATATGCTTGTATGAATTACTTTTATTTCCTTTTAAAAATAAATTTCGAAGATAAAACCGAAACGGTGAGTGAGAATAAAAATTAGACGAAAGTGACGATATTTACTGGAGCTTTCATCTACACGCTCCTTTTTCTAGCCATCTACACCTGAGCCAGCAAAATTCGTCTTCCCTCCATCCTTACATTCTCCAGATTTACAGAGAAAACGCCGTCCTCTTTAACATATCCAGACCTTCTTTGACGGGGACTATACCACTACATTATCAGCTTTATTTGTTATCCCGAGCAATTTAAATGCATTCGTAATTGCTCATTCTCACCTCTTCTCTTGTTGATTCCGTTTTCTTATTTTTAGTTACGGTTTGCACTGCTCTTTTATTTTCACAGCTTTAATTCTATAATGCTGTAACGCTACAATATGGATCCATTTATGTGGTTTATACTATTTAATGTTATTCGTAAGTGACCAACCTATTATAATAATTAAAGATTATTGTATTACAGGCCTGAAGATGTTCCTGTAACTAGTCGCTCCTGTATTTATAATAAAATTGATTTTAAGGTTTTATTCTTCAATTGAAAAAAGTATACCTTTACAGTGATTTTGTTTCTTTTCCTGCATTAGACACATATAAGACGGTATTCATTTTAAAAATAGTAAAATTAGCAAATTGTTTAGTTTTTTTTACAATTAAAACGTTTGGACAATGTGTGTTTTTATAGATAAATGATACACCACTGAACAAGAAGGATGTTTACCTTCCCCCTTGTGCCCGCTTCCTCACTTCCTCTACAGATGTTGCTAACACAACAATCGCCTACAAACTCGTTTTCACGCTCCCTCTATTAGTAATTGCTCGGAGGGTAATACAATGCGACGATATTACAGTACTCAGGGTTGAAACTTGGAATGCTAGATGGCGTTGAAGTAGCTAGATTTTTAAATTTCTTGACAAACAATTTTTTTATCTTTCGTAAAAAATATATTTTTTTTAAGTATCCTATGTTACTTCTAATACCTCCAAAAATATGTGTACAAAATTTCATGATGATCGGTTAAGTAGTTTTTGCGTAAAAGCGTAACAAACAAACTTACTTTCGCATTTATAATATTAGTAGGGATTAAATCTAAACGCTGTGATTTTTACATTAGTTTACCCGTTACATTATTATCTAAAACTGACAGTAGTTTGAGGTGTTTTGAAAAGTTCTGCAAAATAAATTGCTTCTCTAAGATGGTTGACATACGTTTGTTTCATTAAGGACAGAGTCTCCAAAGGATTTGCGGTCGAATTCTGTACTGCGGGACTGCCTAACCAGTAGTGCCTGTAAAATAAACTACTCACCAAAATGAATTATCGATCCGTTGAATTTGTTATTTGCTACTCACGGAGTTCTTAGCATAGAATCATTTCCATCTAGATACGGAAATGAGGTAAGATCAATATTTTAGTACCAAAAAAAAATATAGTTATATTATTTATTTTATTTAAAATTTAAATAAAATAATTATGTGTTTCAATACAGCTTTCCCCCTTCGCCCCATTAAAACTAAATGTCATAAATCTTGGACAACTAAAGGAATAAGAACATCATCTAAAAATATGAGGTCACTCATGTATATTAAAAAGTACACAGATAATCCCCTAATATTAAACTATATCAACAACTACAGAATATTGTATCGGAAAATCACCAAATCTGCTAAGAAAAACTATTACAAAAATCGCATCGCAAGAGCTAAAAACTCCTCCAAAGAAACCTGGTCTATAATAAATGACTTAAGGAATAAAACCCGTTCTTCAAACAGTGTAAATCCTAGCCCAGATGAACTAAACAATTATTTCGTAAATGTAAGTAAAAATATTAAATCTAACATAGCTCAGAGTCAGGATGCTCTCTCCTTCCTCCTACCTACTAAAAGGATCACTGAAAGTTTCTTCCTAAGACCAGTAGACAAGCATGAACTAGTGCAAACCATAAACAACATCCAAAATAAATTTTCCTGTGGAATTGATGGCCTGTCCACCAAAATATTTCTAAATATACCGGATGTAGTAATCAACATTTTAACTTCACTGATTAATGAATCCTTTGAAATTGGTCTCTTTCCTGTCTAAAAACAGCTATAATAATCCCACTTCATAAAGGTGGCGACAAAACCAAAACCTG